CCACATGCCAGCCAGCCCCGCCCCCTGGTGGGCTGAGCTGGCCACACACACACACACACACACACACACAAATAAATAAATAAAAATTTAAAAAATAAATAAAATAAAATAAAATAAAATAAAATAAAATAAAATAAAAATAAGACAAAGATTCACAACACCACGAAGCTCAAATATGCTAAAATGAGGATGAATACTCTAGTTGTTTAATTTGTGTCTTGTTCATCAATCACTTCTTTACTCACATGGATTTCTCTTACAGGAATTTTTTTTCTCTGTATTTTAGGGAAGGGTCTACAGGGTATTCAGGGTCTCACTACTAGACTGGACTTGCAGTGATTTTCCTGTTTACAGCCTCCCAAGAGCTGGGATTACAGGCACGTCCCACCATACCCAGTCTCAATCATTGTCTCAGTGCGCCCTGGGGGTGGGGCCAGCATGGCAGGCCCAGGGATCAAACCCTGGGCCCCTGTACCTGCTGGCAGGTGCTTTAATCCACTAAGCTGTTTGGCTGGCCTTTCTTTCAGGAATTTTTATTCTAAATTAGAATTCATTAATTAAACACTAACAGAATGGAAATGTGTTTTCACCTGGTTAAGTCCATCTCATTTCTGTGTTACCTCTAAAGCATGGCTCATACATGGAGCCTACAAGATTCACAACCAAATGAAAACACTATAGTAGATAAATACAAAGACTTGATCTGGCATCACAGAACTATCTTTTTTCACTGCTTATTATGTAGGAAATTGATCCCTAGCTTCTTTGATTTTATTTAGACAACATTTGGAAACTTGAACCTGGTTTCATAGACAAAAACTAAATTAAACACTACAGAATGTTAAGGAATATTAATTTAAAATGTGAATAAAATATTACAGCTTTTATTAGAGAATATCTAAAAGCAATGAAAGAAGATTAACAAAGGTGCATTATCTTGCAGCTCGGACTTGAAATAGTCAACTGTGACACACTCAAAAATTTCTAACATAGTTTACAGGAGAAAAAGTGGGACGTGGGTATGATCAAAAGTGTTTATAAGTGATGGATCAGCACCCATATGAAAATCCACCTGATAATCATGGCGGTGGGTCAGCATGGTGTGGGAGTCTAAAACCAACAACATGCTGCTCCTAGACTGGCTTCCATCTTCTTCTCCCTGTTTAACCTTAACTTCCTCTTTGTTTTTCACATGTACACCAAGCCTTCCCCAATCAGTGCCTTTTATGACATGTACTGCACATGCAAACTCTTTCTTCCAGACCAACCCATTACATTCTGTCTCACTGCCTCCTCCCCAAGGGTTCTTGTGTCTCTTTGGCAGCCCTCTCAAGCTGAGCAAGAAATGATTATTTACATCTCTCCCACTTCTCTTTCATGCCAGAAGAAGGAACCTTACATTTTGGTGCCATGACTTGGATTGTTGGGGTGTTTAGTTCCCAGTGCCCACTCCCGGTTTAAGCTTCCATTGACAACAGGCCACCCTTCCTCTCCCTCTCATCTCTGCCTCTGCTGTTGCCAGCTTTCATCCAACATCAATCCACCTCAATTCTCACAGATGAGCTGCCTCTTGCCCTGGGAGTTCCTGCCTCCTTTTCTTTTTCTCATTCTCTTTTTTGAAACTCATGGGCCCACATCAGGATTCCCCTCATACCAGGTCATTCTTATGCCTTCCACAGGACATCCCTCTATCTTCTGGGTTGATCCATGAGGACTGACAGACATTTCTCTACCTGTCACATCCCAAAAAAGAGTGACAACTCTTTTTGGGATGGTGCACTGGTTTTGGTCTTTGGCTCACCTTTAATTCAGTCACTATGAGAAATATTTCTTCCAACCCCAAAAGCACACACTACTTGGGTGTCTCTTATGGAACTTAAATATACTCATACTCTGGGAGACTGCAAAGCTTAAACAATTAAATTTTACTTCCGGACAGCTTAGCCCCAACATAAGCTTGATAATGGAATCCACTGGCCTGAGGAGGGTACTCTCAATTTCAATACTCTTCAGGACAATGACAAATGGCAGAGATCCCTACGTACAGGCTTTATTGCTCTTAGGGCATGTCCCCCCTCCTTCAGGCATGCAGGGTGACCCAAATACTTTTGGCTAACTCCACATCACCCTCCAACTGCCTGATATGATCCCCTACTTACTGCCTCTCTTGACCCTCTAGGCAGTGCTCCTCCTGCTTTCACTTCACAGCTCCCTCAAATTCCTCAGCCAGATCTGCCTATATCATTTCCAACTCCTCTATCACCATTTTCTCCTGCTCAGTCTCACCCCACCCACCACCACCATCTTGCAGCCAGTTTTTCCTCATCGTCTTGTACTCAGCGGCCACTTTCTCAGGCCCAACCTCTTCTATCACTCCAGGAACGGGCTGGTTCTGAGGGGTTGGTTCACAATCATATCTTTTCCCGCCCTGATCTATCCCGGATTTCTCATTAGTTAGGCTCCTTTTCTACTGATCCCCACAACTATATAAAGGAGCTCCAGTTCATTATTAATTTCTATGGTCTTCATTTTAAAGATCTATATGTTATCCTCACCTCTACTTTGTCCTCCCAGCAAAAGATCTAGATCTGACAGGCCACTCAGGTGGAAGCAGACCAAGGACACCACTGACCCTAGCCACCCTGTAAGCACAGATGCATTTCTAGACACCAATCTCAACTGGGACTATCAGGGGCCCAATGGCTCAGTCCACACGGCCACTATGGCTGGCTACCTGACTTCATGACTTAGAAAAATTTCATGCAAGGCCACCAATTACTAGAAATGCCACGAACTAATGCAGTGCCCTGATGAAAACCTCAAATTCCTTTCTAGCCTTACTGACACCTTAATCAAATATACCACTGTTGGCCTTCAGTCTCCTAAAAGAATGACCCTTATTTAGTCCCACTTCATTTCCCAATCTTCTCCTGACGTTTGTGCCAAACTAAAAAGGACAGATCTCAGCCTTCAGACTCAACAGGGAGACCTACTTATTCTGGCTTTCTGTGTCTTTAACAAGAGAGAATAAATTAAAACAGGACAAAACACCATACTAAACTTAAATGCCAATTCTTGGCTGTGGCACTCAGTGCTCCAGCTAGAGCCAAGCCTAGACAGCTGAGCACCACCTGAGTCCCTTCTGGAGCATGCTTTTAAGTTTGGCAAAGGACACTGGGCATGAGACTTTGCAATCTACAGCTCCACTGGGACCTATCCCATCTGCAAGCTTGAGGGTTACTGGAAGTGCAATTGCTCTGTCTTCCAGAGAGCAGGTAAGCCATCCAATTCCCTTCCCTCACAGGAACTCTCACCACAGCCATCAGACTCATCACCAACTAACCTGGTTGGCCTTACCACTGGAGAAGATTGGCAGGTCTCAGGGTCCACTGCCCCCATCGCAGCATCTTTATCTGAGCCCTGAGCCTCACTGGACATTTCAGGTAGGACACTCTGTTTTTATTGACATGGGGGCCACATATCATTTCTGCCTGAGTTCTTAGACCGCTGTAGGGGGTCAGGGAATGGCTCAATAGAATAAGCGCTTCCCTGGCAAGCTCAAAGGCCTGAGTTCAATCCCAGGTTCTGCACCCCCCAGTTCTGCGCCCCCCCCAAAAAAAAAGTGTCCTAGACTGCTGCACTTAAGCTGTGGTCCTCCTTGTGGAAGTTGACAGCCAATCTACACAATCCCTCAAGACAGGAACCCTCACCTGTTGATGTCACACAATTTTTTTCCCCAGAGTTTTCTTGTCATACCAACTTGCCTCAGACCTCTCTTGGGAAAAACTCTACTTCTCTTTTAACTTTTCTCTTCCTATGGCACTCATCTTCTAAACTCAATCTCTGTGAGCTGCCGGCTCATCCCTTCCTCTTCCTTTGTTGATCCCATAGTTTGGGACACCTCAAGTCCTACTCATGCCACTCATGCTACCTCTGTACCAGTTTGCCTCTGGGACCCTTTGGCTTTCCCCTGCGCTTCTCAATGTCCAATAGCCCCCGAACACTAATGGGGACTCAAGCTCATAATACAACATCTTAGGAGCCAATGGTTTCCTTAAAACTGTCCATTCCCCTTACAATATCCCAATTCTTTCTGTATTCAAACCTAATGGCTTCTACTGTTTAGTTCAGGATCTCAGGGTTATCAACAATGTGGTTACACCAATCTACCCAGTAGTGCCAAACCCTTACACTATGCTTTCTCACTTTCCCCTCCTCTACCTGCTTTACAGTCCTGGATCTCAAAGATGCCTTATTCACTATCCCCCTATACTCTGATTGTCAGGACCTCTTCATCTTCAAGTAGACAGACTCAGATATCCTCTGAATCCTACAGCTCAAATGGATGGTCCTGCCTCATGGGTTCAGTAATAGTCCTCATTTTTTAGTTAGGCCCTGGCTACTAACCTGGCAACCCTCAATATCAAACCTAGCACTCTTCTGCAGTACAAAGACTATCTTCTCTGTTTCCCACCCTCCCCCATGGTCTAGCCATACAACATACAGCTTCTTTTCTCAACTTTCTCTCAGGTTGCAGATATAGGGCTTCTCCTGCCAAGCCTCAAACAGCTTCAAAGTTCAAATATCTAGGACTTACCATCACTCCCACTACTCACTCAGTCAATGAAGATCATGCATCCCTCTGCTGTGACCTTCAAGTGCTTACTACAAAATAACAAGTCCTGTCTTTCCTTGGTCTAATGTCTTTCACCTTTGGATTCCTGACTTTGCCTCCCTGGCTCAACCTCTCTATAAAGCATCCATGGGCTCTTTGTCAGAATCTCTCAACTCTACTACTCCTATACATACTTCCTTTCACAAGCTATAAGAGGCTCTCTTAAAGGACCTGGCTCTCACTCTCCCAAATTCGACCCAATCCTTTACGCTATGCATCTAATGCAGGAGTCCTAGGACACAAAAAGGGACCTTTATTTCAAACAGTAGCACATCTATCCAAACAGTTAACATAGTACATGGGTGGGCCCCCTGCCTCCAGGCCCTTGTAGCAGCCACATTAACACAAGACACAAAAAGAGTTCACACTAGGTCAATCAATCACAGTATACTCACCTCATCACCTTAATGAGCTCACCTCACACAAGACATTCCTTGACCTAATGACTCCTTCCTGCTCATAACAGGTACACCTGTTGCTTGTACAGGACCCTTCCATCACCATCTCCACTAGCAGTCCCCTCAACCCAACTGCCTTACTCCCCATCTCTGATTAGGCCCTTCATAGTTGCATTAAAGTCTTACAGATTATCTTTACCCTCTTCCCTCACATTAATAGCATTCCTTTCACCTGATTTTTGTACAGTAGTTCAACCAACATGGACACTCAAGAAAGGGCAGTGGATGCCATAATTAGTGGGTCTAAAGTAATAGAGGCAAGTCTACTGCTACCCAGGACATCCTCACAAAAGGCAGAACTGAGCACTTTCAAATGGGCCCTCATACTAGCCAAAGACAAAATTATAAACATTTATATTCAAAATATGCATTTAGTATTTTTCATTCCCATGCTGCCATCTGGCAAAAAGAAAGTTTAATCAGCATTCAAGGAACCCCCATTACCAATGCACTTCTCATTCTCAAACTTCTAGAAGCAGCACAATTTCCAAAGCAGGTACCATTCATTCCCTGTAGAGGACACTGGACACCATGAGATCCTATTTCTCAGTGCAATACCTTTGCTGACACACAGGTCAAATTAGCTACAAAACAGCCATATCCTTCTCATCTTCTTCTTGTCCCAGATACCCTGCCCACACCACAACACTCGCCTAAACAACTCCAATTATTCCACAACCAAGCTATAGCCAAAATACCCAGGGATGGATTTTCTATGGATTACAGCTTCTCCACCCAGATGAAAAGCTTTAACTATCATCGCTGACTTATAAAATTGCTTTCAAATGGGCATCCAAGCTCTATATAAACTTCTAACTTCAGTCAGTACCCATCCCTCCCTAAAAACCATCACCTGCCAAGTCACCCAAGGTGCCATCTCTGCGCCAAAACCTCTTCTCAGGGATACCCATCTCCCCCTTCTTTCCCAATCCCCCAACTTCGTGGACACACTCTTGGCAAAGATTGGCAAATAGACTGTGCACACATGCCTTGTCATAAGACCTATAAATATCTTCTTACCATTGTGCGCACTTTCTTGGGATGGACAGAGGCCTTTCTCACTGCTCAAGAGACTGCAGACATAGTTTGTAAAGCTTTTATATAAGAGACTATCCCCAATTTCTTTTATCCTATTCGGCCATACAATGGACCAGCTTTTATCTCTCAGATTACCCAGCAGTTATCCTCAAGTCTAAACATTATTTGGCATCTAACATACCGTACTATCTACCCACAATCCTTAGGGAAAGTAGAAAAGGCAAACAGTACTCTAAAAACACACCTCATTAAACTTGCTCTAGAACTACAGGTACCCTCGCCTTAGCTCTTTCCTTTAGCACTAACTCGATTCAGTGCACTTATCAGGGCACCCACTTTTCTAAGTCCCTTTGAGCTTAGGTGCAGTAGACCATTCCTGCTTCATAGCTTTTCTACCTCACAAAACCTTCCTCCCATCCTGACTATATCCCAATCCTCTCCTTTCTCAGATAACTTTTGAAACAACACACTGACCTCTGCCTTCCACAACTAATAGATAACCCTCAAACAAAACCCCTTATTAACTCCTGGGAATTTAATATACCTCAAGTCTTTTAAAACTACAGCACCGCAGCCCAAGTGAACAGGCCCTCATCTGGTCATCCTCACACCTGAAACAGCAGTAAAGGTCACCAGCCCTTCTGTGTGATGGTTCCACAACATATAGGCTAAGTGTTATCCCAATAACCCTGACACCTCCAATCCCAAACTCTTGCTCCCAGAGTGGTCACTGAAAGTTCTGTTCCCCCACTGGCCTCTATCTACCAAACATTCCTAAAACTTCCAGGTAACCTCATGTATTAATTTCTTGTCTGGTTTCTGATCCCCTACCTCCTGCTATTTCTCATGTTTGTTGCCAGGCTCTGGGCTATCTGTCCAGAAGACTTTCAGAAATCACACAAGGCTGCTTTCCTACCCTTTAATGGGGTGACAATCCTGGGACTCATTGTTCTCCTTTGTCCTCACCCTAACATTGCTAGGGATAATGGGATAGTTTTAACTCTTATTAACTTTTACGCTTGGGGTCTTTTTCCTTCTACCTGCTAAACAGCAACCAAATTCACATTCAACCTCCTCAAACTCAACACAGTTCCCAAGTGATAAGCTCTGTTTATGCTGCAGGAAATAACCATCATCCCCTTGCTCTTCTTTTCACTTTTTACTCACTTCTACTGCCAAAGTAGTTGTTTCCTGACCTAAAGGTTTATGAACACTTTTGCTTTGATGACTAAGCTATGGGCCTGATAGAGCCAACCTTCCTGGGTTCTTTGTTGGGCCCTTATGCCTGGCATCTCAGAATAACTGGCAAAAAAACCTCTTTTATCTAGCTCCCTGACTCTTCCCAATCTCCCCCTCAAGTGGGAGATCTATACTCCTGCACACATTTCCTCTCAGGTCCAAACAGCTCAAATCTCTGTTTTTTCCATGGGCTATTTTTTTGTCTGTGGCCTGGGAGCATTTATTGCCTCCCACCCACCTCACAAAGCTCCTACAGTCTGGCCATTGTGGCCCCACCTGTCTCCTTAGCCACTAAGAGCCAAGTCATTATACAAAAGCAAAACATCTCTCAACATTGGTCTCACGGGGTAGCCCCCACACATGGTTCCAGTCCTGGTGGGCTGGAGTCTCTTTTTAGTCATTGGTATTGGTCTGGGAGTAGGGGGAATTGGCACAGCCCACCACTTTTTATTTACACTTTCTGTGGATCACTCTGTGTCTATTTACAATGTTATGGCATCCATCAACTTTTTCCAAATCCAAAGCAACTCACTGGCAGTAGTAGTACTCCAAAACCTGGAGCTCTTGCAGTTCTTACAGCAGAAAAAGGTGGGACCTGCCTCACGTTATGGGAAGAATATTATTCCTTTGGTAACCAATCAGGTATTGTCATGCAAAAAACATATGAACTTTGTGACCTTGCTGCAAAAGTACAAAAAACAGCTATGGGTTCTTCTTGGTCCTCTTCCTGGTGGTCTGATCTTGGCTCTTGGATACCTGTCCTCCTCTCTCTTGGGTCCTCTAAACATGAGGATAGGCCTATTGCTCACAGCACTTTGTCTCTGTAAACTTTGAGATTTCTCCATTCACAATACAAGTTTTCACCACCAACAAGCTTCTCATCCTGGCCGAGATGCCTGGCACCAGCTTCCACATGAATCTGACTCATCATTCCAATAACCATGCCAGTTCCTATCTTGATACCTACTTGCAGCTCGTACCTGCAGCAA